CGGGGAACTGATGACGCCAAGCGTCCGTTAGGCGGCCGAAGCAGCGCTAGGTGGGGTTCGGACCCCCACACTGCTCACCCGTGCGGTCGCCTGTACGTAGAACGTAGGTACAGGGGCCAGCACCCCTACCCCGCTGACGAGCAGTGTACCACTCACGAAGCTGCTGGGGGGAAGGGGTCTCACGAGTGTGCTGCTGCTGCTGCTGCTGGCGCTGACCACCACCGGAGCCGACCCTCTGCGAAGAGCCGCCCCGACCAGCTCCACCTCCGCCGCCGCTACCTCCACCACCGCCTCCACCTCCACCACCTCCGCTCGCACCGCCACCACTGCCGCCTCCTCCGCCTCCACTGCCGCCACTAGTGCCCCGCCACCACTCCCACCGCCACCCCCACCCCCTCCGCCGCCTCCACCGCCGCCTCCACCGCCCCCGCCAGCTCCTCCAGCGCCCTTGCCCCCCTTGCCCTTGCCTGAGCGGCGTCTCCCGCTAGGGGCAGACGCCGCGCCGACCGACTCAAGACCAACGAGGTCGGCCGCAGCAGCAGAGGCAACAGAGGGCAAGAGGGGGGAGGGGGAGCACCCCTCAAAGACAGGGGTACGAGGGTCACCACGAGAGGCTCCTACAGCGACTATACTCTTTTCTGCTGCTAGGAGGCGCTCCTCGAGGAGGTCAACGGTGAGGGTGGTGGGGCAAACAGAGAGGAAGTGGTCCCTGACCGAGCGAAGGGTGTCAGGGAGCCGGGTGACTATGTAGTAGAGGGTGATGTACATAGGGGGGGGGTTCTTGGCGCAGAACTCAGCAGGAAGCGCAGCGCGGTAGCGAATGTCACTAGTGCGAAGGTGCGTAACGAGGTCAGCGACTGTGGGAAAAGCGGCGAGGTCAGGGAAGAGGTACGGCAGTATGAGGCGGCTAAGGGCAGCAGTGGCAGGGGAAGAGTAGCGTGCAACGACAGCGTCGTACAAGGTCTTAGCACTCTTGTACTGACTAAAATGCGCGCGCTCAGCGGTCGGTAAGTGGCGGCGCACAGCAAGGCGAGCAGCAGCATCGCGCGTGGCCCACTGTGAGCGAACAGTGGCGTCAGCATCAGCAGCAGGGGCAGGAGAGGCACCAGAGGTGAGGTCAAACAGAGAGAGACCGTCTGCCCTATCGCACTGTAGGAAAAGCTGCAGATCATCTACCCAGACCTCAAAGTCAACAGCCCGACCCTCAGCGTCAAAGGTGAGAACACTGGGGGTGGCCATGATAGCAGTAGACTGGCAGAGAGAGCAGCGGGGTAGGGCAGTGCAGTGGCAGAGGCGCTGCTCTTACCAGGCAGGTGGGGCGGGCCGAGGCAGGCCGGCAGGGACAGGGCCGCGACGGCAGGGACTGCGGCGTCTCGGCTGCGGCGGCGTGGCGGTTCGGCGGCTCGGCGGCTCGGCTGCAGGGCGGCTCGGCGGCTCGGCGGCTCGGCAGCTCGGCGGTTCGGCAGCTCGGCGGCTCGGCGGCTCGGCAGCTCGGCGGCACGGCGGCAAGGGCGGCTCGGCGGTGACGGCGGCTCGGCTGCTCGACGAGGCCGGGAAGGGCGGCTGAGGGGCCGAGGAAGGGCGGCAGGGCCGCGAAGGGCGGCGACGGGGCCGCAAGGGGCGGCAACGAGGCCGCTGAAGGGCGGCGACGAGGCCGCTGAGGGGCGGCGACGGGGCCGCTGAAGGGCGGCGACGAGGCCGCGAAAGGGCGGCGACGGGGCCGCGGAAGGGCGGCAATGGGGCCGCTGAAGGGCGGCGACGGGGCCGCGGAGGGGCGGCGACGTGGCCGCTGAAGGGCGGCGACGAGGCCGAGGGGAGGGAGGGACGGCGACGGGGCCGCTAAGGGCGGCTACGGGGTCGCGGCTCGGCGGCGACGGGGCCGAAAGGGGCGGCGACGGGGCCGTAAGGGGCGGCGACGGGGCCGTAAGGGGCGGCGACGGGGCCTTAAGGGGCGGCGACGGGGTCGTAAGGGGCGGTCGCGGGGCCGTGAGGGGCGGCGACGGGGCCGTAAGGGGCGGTCGCGGGGCCGTGAGGGGCGGCGACGGGGCCGTAAGGGGCGGTCGCGGGGCCGGAAGAGGCGGTCGCGGGGCCGTAAGGGGCGGCGACGGGGCCGCTAAGGGGCCACGCGGGGCCTAGAGAGGGCAGCGACGGGGCCTGAGGGGCCGCTAAGAAGGGCGCGACGGGTCGCTAAGGGCGGGACACTAGGCGCGCTTCGGGCAGGGGCGGCACGCGCCCCGGGTAGGAAAAAAAATCTTGGTGGGCCCTAGGAATAGTTCCCACGAGGGAACCTGCTCTGATACCATGAGAAACTTAGAACGAGAATGGATTGACTAAGGAATGAAAGTGATACAAATATGAAACCCTAGAATTGTGTACCCCTTAGTATCTAACCCGCTATAGCCTACACAGGCTAGATCATATAAGTTTGACATGGACCACTCGTTACGAGTGCCCAGCTTTGCTGATGTGGAGGATGCCGTCGCACTCGTCCTCAAATCACCCAACTGGTGGTACGTATACAGATTAGACTCGTTTTCTTAACGTTACCGAAAATTTACACAGCTATCCTTCGCCCCTTTGACAACTACCAGGTCAGTCTCACCGTTGCGCACCTAGAGGTTGTGCGCCATGTCGTTAGGACGTGGCCCAGACCGCCTCTGATTGCCTCGATCAGAGGCGATCAACAACTTCCAAGAAGCCCCAAGGCAAACTTCAGGCAATCAGGGGCAATCAACTTATCACGATCAAATGATCGCCCCAACTCGATCAACCGCCTAAAACACCCCAATCAGTCACGATCACACACAATCAGTCGCGATCAGTTGATTGCATGTGATTGGGGATCTTGGCGACACTTGCGAAAAGGTTACAGTTTCTTGTTTAGCTCGTCAAGCTGTCGTGCAGGATTTCGTTAAGTGAAATTTGCGACATTACATGGAAACGATAAATTCGCTACGTTTTCGTTATCGCCAAAATGGGGACGAAAGGATAAGGAAATGCTGACGCGCCTGCCGGGCAATCGCCTTAAATTTTCTAGGAATAACAGCACAGATCGGGTGGCGCGAGCAATGCAATCGCAAGCAACCCGATCAGATCAGTGCCGATCGGAGGCGGTCTGGGCCACGTCCTTATTGACATCGCTCCTCATGAAGTTTTTTGGTCCCCCTAACATCAGGTACTAGACAGGCTGATAATTTTTATTCAACCATACAGCAGAATCTAAACCGGGATATTTCAAGAACGGACGCCACAATAGCCTAAACCGGTGTGCACTAGTCTCCCACACACTAGCTCCTCCAGCTCGTGTCGACAGATCTCGTGAGGAGATTGCATGCATTATAAAAGCTTGCGCATGCCCATGTGCGCTAGACTATGCTGGCTATCACTTTATCCGCTACTTTGCGTCACCTCCAATTTTCGCCGCCACACCATCATGTCAAGGAATGGCCTAAAGAAGCTATTTGTTCGTCCAGTGACAGCAAGGCACCACGCGATGCGCGAACCAGTATCTTCAGTTCCTAGGCTGGATAAATGGATCTTGCTTCAGTTCAATCGCGATCGGCATCGAGATTCCGCCGCGAAACCTAATATTGCGATAGGGTTTCCAGTCTGGGAAAAACGTGTGATACTAGAGCTGATTTACAACAAGATTTCGAGGGCATGGGGGGGTTCGGAAAGAAACGTGCAATATCTAAAGATGCGAAAGATGGTCGCGAGAGCATCTCTTCCACCATGCGCGGTTTTGTGTGCATCTTATTGCTGCCGCTGTGGTCCCGAGCTGAAAGCTTTCCACCGCCAAATCAGGAAACCTAGCCCCCCCACCTTCGTTGCTCTCACACGGTTTCTGTCGCCCAAATCCCCCATTCGCCGGTGCGGGTTATTTAAGTGAGAAATCTAGCACGGCCTCTCGCTCCCACGCGAAACTCTCTTGTCATAAATCGTCTTATTCACCCATACCAAAGCTCCACCTCACTTCTGCGTCGGTAATCCTCCTTCCTCACAGTGCGTAGTAACAAACTTCTCGTCTTTTACCGCTGCGTGGTCACACGGACCAGACTAACCCACTCTCGCAATCGCACATTTCTCGAGCGTCGTATGACCACGAGTGGTACTCCATTCCTCCATACAAAGACAAGCTCTCGTGCTGAAAACGAGCCGTTTCCCTCCTCGTACCGCGCTGATCTCGAGCCTCAAGCTTCCAGGGGAGCGTCCAGCCAACGATTGCTCCCGTGCCATTGACGTGCCACTGATTTTCCGGAAATCTTCACGTTTTATTCCCGAACCATGACGGCCCTGGCCCGTAGTCGGGAAGCGGAGTTGCAAGATGGACGACGCCAGCTTTCCCCGGTTTCAGATTCGCCGCGTAACCTGCCGCGGCGGCTCCCGCCTTCCTGGCAACCATGGACGACGGAGGTAAGGACATTGCGAATCCACGTGCTATGACGTGTGATCTTTCACCTACTGCTCCGTGCATACCTAGCACTTCTAGGTCAAAGTGTCCCGCCGTGGTCCTTTTGAAGAAGGTGGTTCAAACTGTTCCACGTATGCCACATCCCGCGCCATTTCAGCAATGGTTGCGGCCGTGCCGCACAATGCAGCTTGTTGACAGCCGTTCCCTCCGCCTCTGCTACCCTCTGCCACTTACCTTCTGTAGATCCCCTCGTCCTTTACTATATGTACTCATCATTTGTCACCTCTGTCACTTACCCTCTGTCGCTTAACCTTACTCTCTGTCGCTTGTTCTAACTTGCTTATCCTCGGTCACTTATCCTGTTTCCCTTGCCCATATCGCTTTACTTCCGTCCCTCACCCCGACGGCTAACTTTTCGTCCCTTACTCTCGCTTGCCCCATTGCCCCCTCCCGGCTCGGCAGGAGGACGCAGTGCTGCTGCGGCACGCGGGTCACCCTATTTCGCCGTCTGTCGCTTACCCTCCGTCCCTTACCCTCATTTTCCTTCCATCTGGCAGGAGGACGCGGTGCTGCTGCGGCACGCGCTGAGGCATGGCACGCGGCAGTGGGGGCGGCTGGTGCGAGGCAGGCAGCTCGCGCGCGGCAACAAGGCGTGCTGCAACCGCTTCCTCTTCCTCAAGAAGTGAGCCCTGCATGCATGCAAGCCACAATGCCATTTGCTCCAACCGCTTCCTCTTCCTCAAAAAGTGAGCGGGGGATCGTTCTGCTGCCTCTCATGCCCTGTTACACCACCGTGCCATGCGACGTGCATAGGGAGGAAATGCAGTGCAGCCTGTACAATGCAGTCTGACTACTGTCTGAACTTCCCCACTCGCTCTATCTTGTGTCTAGATGAATCCATTGATTCGCGGATTGCATGCTTTGCGTTATGGATTTGAGCGCCTGGGTTCATGCCTGACACACAACTTTATTCGAACCGTACTTTTCTTTTTTAAAAAATGTGTTTTCAGGAAGTTTACCCAGAAGCCCGCTGATGCCACATTGCCAGCTCAGCAACAGTTCCAGCAAGGCCCATCCGTCTCCACTTCCTCCGGCCAACCACAGCGACACATGTGTAGCCGTCCTGATGTGGCGTTGCAATATGGCGGGCTGTCATTGGTCGAGTGGATGCAGCTGTTCCTCCCCGCTGGTATCCGAGACATCGTGGTCCCATCTGCTGTTTCACCTGACCATGCACCTGAGTTCAATCCAGCACCTGCTGAGGCTATCCTCGCGGATCCGGAGCAGTTTGTACCGAGCATGGGACGCCTATGGAGAGAGAATGCAGTAGCAGCAGCAGCAGTAACAGCAGCAGCAGCAGCAATAGCAGCAGCAGCACCAGCAGCAGCAGCAGCATCAGGACAAGGAGGAGAAGGAGCAACAGGAGCACAGCAGCGCACAGCATCAGTGGCAGATCGCCAGCTGGCTCACATTCTGTTTCCGGAATTACGAGCCACACATGTATGCACCATGAACCCCATGAATCGGGGGATGAAGAGGCTTCGCAATGACAACACAGGATTCAGCAGCGGCGGCGCTCACACCGGCACGTGTGAAGGCCTGTCGGCTGTGCAGCTTCAAAACATTGATGTTGGTGATGCCTTGGCTGAGCGCTCGCTGCTTCTGCAGGCCGCTGACAGCCGGACCTGCCAGCGGAATTGCGGGAATAGGTGAGGCTGTGACTCGAGATGTTGAAGCTTATGTGCTTCTTTTGTGCCTGCACAATGTGCATGGATTTCTGGTAATGTACTCTGATTTTGTGCCGTTTTCGGATCCAGTGGACCTCCGTTTATCCGACGTCGAATCCTGGCGAGTTCGCTTGTTCTCTTCTCATCCATTCTCCCCCCTCTTCTCTGTTCTTCCCCCTCTTCTCTGCTCTTTCCTCTCTTCTCTGCTCTTCCTGTCTTCTCTGTATCTGCTCTGCTCTACACTGTTTAGGCGGACCACCCCGTCATCCTGGCTCATGGCGTCTCTTCTGCAGCAGAAGCAACAGCAACAGCTGCCCCAGCATCAGGAGCAGCAACAGCAGCAACAGGAGCAGCAAGAGGAGCAACAACAGAATCAGCAGCAGGAGCAGCTGCCATCACTGTTCACACAGGCTCCAATTGGGTCCAAGTCAACTCAGACTTTCCAGTCAATGAATGGACCCTCAGTCCGGCCTGCAGCTCACTGCAGCAGCATCAACACACCCATCTGGGGCTCTCTCCCCGCCCTTGACTGGCCTCTTTCCTTCTCAACCTCCCTCTCACCCTCCTTCACACCCTCCTTCACACCCTCCTTTTCACCCTCCGTCACACATTTCCTCGCACCCTCTCTCTCACCGACCCACGTGTCCACCTCTCGGACCTACCCAGCCAGCCCTCTCTCATCCGCGTCGCACTGGCACTCCACCTCTCGCAAGCCCTTCGCCTTCAGCCTGACTCAAAGCTCCCTCCTTCTGCATACCGCCCTTCCTAACATCTTTTCGCCATCCCTCCACTCTACCGTCCCTCCTCCCACCACTCCCTCCACCGCCCTCCCCATCGCTCCTGCCAGACACAACCCTCTCCCGTCCCCTTCCTCCTTCATACCCTTCCCTTCCGCTCCCAGCCAGTTTGCTGCTTTGTTCACGCCCACTCCTCTCATTACACCCACGACGCTAACGGTGTCATCAGCCCCTACCACCGTCATCAACCGTGGCCCACTGCACTCTATTCCCTCCTTCCCCTTACTCTCGGCCCTCCAGTCCGCCCTCCACACTCCACCGGCCAAAGCACCTCTCACACTCTCCGACCCACAGCACTACCCTTCTCAGTGCTACCCTTCCCGCAGTGCCTCCCCAAGCAACGCTGCTTCCTCCGCTTCTGTCGAATGCTCCCCGCCTTCCTCCCAGACCTCCTCCCAACCCTCCTTCCAACACGTCTTCCGACCCTCCGCTACGCCAGTGGAATCACAGCAGCTGCGAGCCACAGCCGCTCCGTCAGCTGCTCCTTCCCACCCTGCTGCAGCAGCAACATCCGCAAGCGTGCTTTGCATTCCTCCCATTCCTCCTGTGCTTCCAGCAGCAGCAGCCCTTCCAACTTCTTTGTATCATGCAACAATGGACACACCTCCCTTGTCTTCACCTGCACTAGCAGCAGAACATGGGAGGCCGCAGAAGATGCCTCGGACGAGCCGAGGAGTTTTGCCCCCCGCTGCTCTGGAATTCGCCCGCTCCTTTTTTTCTGGGCTGTTGGGCAGGGTTGATCACCAGGGAAGCGAGAGCAGCGACAGGGAAGGACTGCCTAGTTTGGGCGAGTCTTTACTGTCTGACATGGTTACTGCAGCGACTGCTGCTCCTGGTGTAACTGCTACCCCTGATGTGACTGATTCTCCAGCAGCAGCGGCTCTTGCAGCAGCAGCAGCAGCAGAAGGCATACCAGTATGTCAGGGAGAGGTATCCATTTGGAAGGATCTGATTGAGCTGGAGGGCGGGGAGATGGAGGTGGTCTGTGGTGTGGAGAAGAGAGCAGGGTTGGCACTGGGCTCTTTCTGCGAGCTGGAGGTCCTCTTACAGGAGAATGAACAAGCTAGTGTGGCACCATTTGGCACACAATGAACAAAGACTTGTCAAATGCGGTAGTTGGTAATGTAAATTACATGAGTTTCGCTGGCAGTTCTTGTGCGCCAATGTGTAGCCTTTGATTTGTAATGAGCTCATTTCAACTGGCAAATTACAACATGCACCTCGAGCTAGACAATATAAGTGCTAGTATATGTCCTGATACTTCCTATCAATCATTCGTCAAGCTATCATTCCTAATAGGTGTGCGCCAACCCATATTGTACCACTTGTGTCCTCCTGTGTAAGCGGCGGCCTTGGTGTCCATCGGTGTTGGGGCGGGGGGTGGGAGAGTTGCATGAGCCGTTTGAAAAATGAGAGACGTGGGTGGAGGGAAATGAACTCCAACCCACGATTTGTAGTTGGAGAAGGGCGTTTAGCGCGCTTCGACGATGCCAAATTCGCGTTACAGTCAGCTGCGCTTTCGAAATACGTAATTTTAAAAAACACTATGTGTGTTTAAAAATTATCATTTTTTTGCAGTGGCTTGAGGTCCTTGGATATGGTGAACTTATCTTTCAAGCTTCGACCCCACCAGGGTTGTTAGATGCTTTCGTTATAGCATTGTCTGAATCAATCAATGCCTGCCTAACAAATACATGATGTGACTTGCGTTCATCCCTTTATGCAGTGATTGGCAACTAGATCATGGTACCTAGCTTTCAGATCTGTCCTTGGTACTCATTTCTGGCTAGCATTGCTGGCAGTGAAGCTAACAGCTTTCAATGTTGGTCCTGTGCAAATAATGTCATGCTGAGACTGCGCGGACCAGCCATCTTGCCTGTCTTGCATTATCATCCTGGTACACTGAATTCATATGCAGCGAGGAAACGTGTGTCCTCCAACATATCCACCAGCCATGGACCGCTTCACATTGTAGTCAAATTGCCGTGGATTGGTGCGCAGAACCTCTGCTGCTTCATGGTTCAAGGGGTCATCAGGATTGGGATCCTGTGGGACAATAACGTAGGGGAGCGTTAAGATTGAGAACATGGATATCAGCCGCAATACATTTCCAGCAGTACTACACTCCAGCCATACAGCCCCTGCATGGCCACGCTCAAAATTCCACGGAACCCCTCCATTTTCAAATACCCTCAACCCGCAATATCTCCAAACCACGCATACGAAGCATCACATAGAGTCAAACGTACCAAGAAAAGAAACTGCAAGCCGTAGACAATGGAGTTGATGCTCAAAACAGGCTTCCAGTCTTCTCTCAAAATGTTTAGACAAACATTCCCTTCCAGGTCGATGTTGGGGTGGTACACCTGCAAGTGGCATGACGAAAAAATCAGCAATCAAGACGCTCTACCACAAGCAACATCCTGACGTCAAGACCATGTTTCATCAACACAAAAAGACCTAATACATGAGGTGATGGAAATCACTAGCTGCTGTACCTTAGTTTTGCACTTCACTTTGGGAGCTTCATGAGGGTAAGAGGGTTGAACCTCGAAGCTGAAAGTGAACGTTCCTCCCCTGAGAGGTGCAAGGAGGTTGGAAGGGAGCGTGTGACAAGGGATGCACGATTGACAACGCATCTAAGGACGGGTTGGGTTGACGTTGGTAGGGATGGGAGGTTTGGTGAGCGATGCAGGAAACTGGTACAGACAAGAGGTGGAACAGAGCTAGCGAAAGCGGCAAAGAAACAGGGATGCAACACACAACGGAGACAGGAGAGCGTACACCAAGCGATCTCGGAAATAGGTGAATAAACCGTGGAAGTCAAGAGCGCTCACAAGTAGTAGCCTTCATCTGGCTTAATCGTAATATCGAACTTCAGAAGGTTATCCTTTCCCTCTGGGAATGCGATGCTCGTTGTCGTAGGAAGATTTAACTCCGAAATATCTGCACGGAACAACACAACAACTCAGCATCCTTCTTTGATTACAAGGCTCAAGAGACTGCGGACGCTGCAATAACTCCGGGCGAACGTAAACGACAGTAACAGCGAATGCTCACCTTTTTGAACTCTCAACTCGCCAGCCGACTGTTTCCTTCCTGGAGCTCTGCCATTATTGCTTTCTGCTGCTTCCCGTTGCTTCTTCTTGATCATACCAAGGTTAATCATATTGGCTAGATGCGAAAGCTCTAAGCTACTCGCTACGACCAACTCGAAACCCTATGTCCCAGGATTGCTCCTCTGCCTATCAGTGCACTCCACTCGGCGACGCGAACGAATCGAGAGGAGAGCGAAGACGCGTAGAGGAGACCGAGAACCTTGAATAACCACTAAAACTCGGATGATGCAACTATTGACTAAACGCAAGCTGGTCTTACCAGAACATGGTACGACTAGCAGATGTTGGGCAGACATTTGTTCTAAAAATGGGAAAACTGTGCAGTCATGCATAGGCGAAGCAAGCCACAATGAATGATAGTACCATGTGTAGTGCGGTGCGGTTAGTTGTTGGTAGGTACGTTGCTCCTCATTACACTGTAATTAATTGTTGTGGCCACATTAGAAGTTGACATTTAACACGTGCAATACAAACTAGAAAATCACAACTATGTTGTTATACGTCAAGCAATACGTGCCTCTAAGGCCTTCAATGGCTGGATCTTGGCAATGTTAGCCTGGTGTTCAATCTTGTTAACTAGCATCTCGGCCTTCGAACATCGCCTCCGGCAGTAGGTTTTGAGACCTTGGTTCATCAAATACCTGCCAAGCAACCAAATGGCGCAAACAAAGAGATGCTGCAATATATCAAAAAACAAACTTCAGCCACACATCCCAACCGCAGCATTCTGTAGGTAAACAAGTTCAAGTTGGGGCACGGCAGCAGAAGCAACAGATGCCTTGACCAACAAAGTTTGCATGTTTACTTGAATACTTCACCTTGTAGGTGTAAACAGGCCCTGAGAAAAATGGGTTATTGGCAGTCTGAGATGGCTGCGTGTTGTGGGGCTGCAGTGTTAGGACTAATAGGTTCAGTAGATAGGGAAGGTCGCCCTGCTGAAGTGCATCCAGCAAGCCATCTGTTGCACAAACAAGGTAGGAAAAACGGGATAGGAGAGTATGTGCGTGTGTGTGTGAGTGTGTTAAGTGGGAGGGATGGAGGGAGTGTGTCTGTGGGTGTGAGTGTGTGTGAAACTTGAGATATTTACATAGATAGACAGAGGCAGAGAGAGAGAGAGAGAGAGAGAGAGAGAGAGAGAGAGAGAGAGGGGGGGGGGGGGGGGGGGGGGGGGAGGAGAAAGATGAGGGGAAAGTCAAGCCACAATGAAAACATGTTCGATTACATATATGACAAGCGGAATTGCACCAGGAGAGAAAAACAGAGAACCAGGGCATGGAAAACCGGGGCGAGGAGTGTACCACATATGAGCGAGACGACACGGGGAGAAATGGGACGAAGTGAAGTGGCAGTCACGATCCACTTGAGAACCGCAGGCGAGATCCGGAGCAACGCAACAACTGACTGCACCAGCACACGCGGAACCACTATCCGCAACACAGCGCTCGCTACCCGTCCCCTAAACGACTGCTGTACTAGCTGCCACACTCCACCAGCCTGCTGCCACGACATCACCACCTCAGGTTGACCCCCTGGTCGCCTCTCCTCCACTTCCGCATGCATGGCCCTTTCGCGGCCTCTTATTTCTTCGGTAGCGTCACCACACTCGCCAGTGTTCAGAACTCCTGGTGGCCCCAGCAGCAACAGTCCTGCTACGAGCCCTTGACCCAGCCTTTCAGCAGCGGCATGAGCAAGAGGGGAGCCTAGGCCAAAGCCCACTATCCACAGCCCCGGTACCACGTGCAGCTGTTGCGCTAGCTGCTTGATATCGTCAGCAACAGCAGAGGCGAATGATGCCGTTGTGGTGGTGGCTTGGAGAGGGAGAGGGTCGCTAAACCCTGTGCCAGGGAGGTCGAAGGAGATCACGCGGATGGACCGTTGATGAAAGAACGCCTCGCTGCGAAGCAACGGAATAACAGCAAAATATGCTCGTCAGCTTCGTACATAGAGTAAGGACTGTAAGATTTGCTGCGGTAAATTGATCCGGCAGGAGGCGTTAGAAGAAAGCGTACCTGAGACCTGGAAAACCCGCCGTGCGGCAGAGAGGGGGGGCGTGGACGACCAGGAGCGTGTGACGCGCACTTCCCTGCGGGACTCCAAACTCCTGCCACGCGAGAAGCCGTCCGTCCGTCAAGCGAATGCGCTTCGGCTCGGGTAGCTTTCTTTGAAACGGTGAGAGTATAGTCGCACAGCCGATGCACGTTCCTGCAAACATAATTACATGGGGATAGAGTGAGCGAGTGTGTATGAGTGTGAGACTGTGAACGATAGCAGGAGCTCACACGCAATGGTGTTCCAGCATCGAGTGAGGGTGCTTACCAGCGAACGACGTGTAAGCGAGTGTAGCTCCGATGACGAGAAGTGTTAGCATTATCAGGCAGAACGGTAGCGAGATGAGGATTAGAGGAGCCACCGGAAGCAGCAGAAACGACCAGAGGATTATTGAAGACAGGTCTCCGCCTCCCCGTTTCAGACTCATGATAAAAGATGAGGAGGTGGAGTGAAGGCTAGACGGCCACGTGGTGTAAGCCGTGGACCAGGCAGACGTGGACTCCCGTGAGTCGCATGATTCCCGGTCGCCGTCTCGTTGGTCGTCCAGGACCTCTCCTCCAACCGCTCCGGCAGAAGATGATGCTTCCGTGGTAGCGAATGACGACAAGGCAGGCATCTCCTCAGCATCGTCGAAGTTGACCTCTTTTGACTCGTCTGATCTTGGTGACAGCTGATCTGGCGAGAGAGGCGGAGTGGAGTGAACAGCGGCTTCATCTGTGTTTGGTCCAAATTGAAAAGCTTCTAGATGCGAGGGTTCGGAAGTTTGTACATGGAGTGGCATTGAGAGCTCAGACGTAGGCTCAGATTTCGCCAGAGCCAGATCTCTGCCTCTGCTTGACTGAAGCCTTCCGCTAACCGAGTTGACATCGCACGGAACCACAGGAACATGACCCGGACTGTCCTTCCGAGCTTCCTGGCATTTCACTTTCGGCATACCCCATTCTTCGTCCAGCAAGCTTAGCAAGTCCTGGGAGGGAACTGAAACTGCTTGTGCATTCGACGAGCGTCTCGACTTCCGAAACATTGTTACTCCTGACAGAGAATTACTCCGAGCTAGCACGAGATTCCACGGCTGGCTGGACTAGTCATAGACATCCAGACAAGCATTTCTAGCCAACAAATTGAACAAACCTGCAACAGAACTCCAACGATCGAGTATTCAAGCGGAAAAGTATGCGCGGGGTGATGTGGGAAACTGGAGAATCCTCCTCTGAAGTGTGTGGAAGGGGATGGAGAAGAGTGTCACGTCATGTCATCATGCGAGGAGGAGAAAAGGGATTCTCTTGGGCGGAATGCTCTATGTTCGGCAAGTCCAGTCAGACGACTCCCCAGTATTGACAAACCAAAACCTGCATCCGAGCCAGTTTTCCCTGCCATTTTCCTGGGCCGAACCTTGTCCTTGGCTTTCCCAGGTTCGTTTGTCAGGTGTCACACACGGCAGGAGCCAGACCAGGCCTCGACTCATTGGTGCCCTTGACGGCTGTTGATTTTTACCCTGGGCTCGGAAGCGTTGATTATGGAACCTTGAGAGCTTCAGCCAATCACATGGCTCATCAACTCCGCGCCGAATTTCTTTTTCACAACTTTCTCAAATGCGTAGAGCTGTTATGAGTTGTAAAAGAGAGTGCGCAGGTAAACGAATAACGAGGCTGTGATTAACTGATCTGAGAATACAATGAAGGAACGCACTAATGTAGGAGCTAGCCTAGCTAGGAGGAAACCTCGGACGAGCGAGGTTGGGGTGCAGGTTTGGCGATGGGAAATGCCGAAGGCGACGCGAGGAGCCTCGGCAGCGTTGAAATCGGCCGAACGTGCAAAGTCCGAAAATCGGGCCGTACGCGTAGCCAACCCCGATAAGGAATTCGGGAAAATTCCTTACACTACCCTCCCCCCCCTTAAGAAAGGCGGTCAATATCCGAAACACGCCTGCGCGCCAAATAATCACCAACAAGCGGCGAGGAGTCGAGCGAGTCAGAATGCACCCACGTGTCATCCTCACTGGTGTGGTCAGTCCAACGGATCAGAAAATCCACGTGGCGACCAGCTGCGTCAAGGCGAACCCGATATGCCAGAATCTTCGAAGGTTCGAGAGTCGGCTCCGGGACAGGTCGTGCAGTTGGGGCAGCTTGTTGCCTCGCGATTTCGGTCGTGGCGGGCACGAACTTCCGAAGCAGGCTGACGTGGAAGGCGTCATGAATGCGCCAGTCGTCGGGTAGTAGCAGCTTCGCGGTGACAGTTGTCACCAAACCGTGGCCGTAATTTCGACGGGCCGGGCAAGTGCAGGTTCTTCGTGTCAAGTAGCACTAGTTGCCCAGTGGCCAAGACGAGTTACCGCGTAGAAGGTCGGTATATTTGCGGGAAGTGATATTCGCCTTGCGAATTGCGTCCGCGGCTTTTTCTCAGACTTCCTGGAGTTCCGTCACAAAGGTCTGTGATCTCGGGACCGGGTTGTCGAGGGTCGTTGCCGTAGGAACCGACGGGTCCATCCCGTAATTCAGGAAAAACGGGGAGTGATTAGTTGTGCTGGACGGCGCGTTGTTGAAGGCGAACTCCAACATTGCGAGAGATTCTTCCCAGCGGGCAGGGTCGGGGCAGTTTGTCCTGATCTGCTGCTCCATGGTCTGATTGGTCCGCTCGGTCTGGCCGTCCGTCTGTGGGTGATATGCCGATGAGAACTGTAGCTTCGTGCCGTACTGCGCCCATGTCTCCTTCCAGAATTTTGATGTGAACTTCGGGTCTCGGTCGCTGATGATCGCCGAAGGGATGCCGTGCAGTCGCACGACCGTTGAGATGAAGAGGCGCGCAGTTTCTTCGGCTCTGATTGTCGTTCGACATGGGGCAAAGGGCGCCATTTTCGTGAAGCGATCGACGACGACGAGCACTGCGTCGTTGCCGGACGGCCCAGCTGGCATCCCCGTGACAAATTCCATTGTCACTTGCTGCCACGGTCGTTCGGATGGCTCGAGGGGTTGCAGCAGCCCAGCTGGTCGCTGACGTGACGATTTCATGGCTTGGCACACCCTGCATGAGGACACATATCGCTGCACGTCGTTAGAGGAGTCAGGCCAGTAATATTGACACTGCAGTAATTTTGGGGTTTTATCAACCCCGAAGTGTCCGGAGAAGTTCGAATCGTGGACCTCCTGGATAAGGAGTTCACGCAGCAGCCTGTAAGCGGGAACCCAAATCCGGTCGGTTCCGGCTTTTAGGTAATAATCCCCTTTCTGCGTCGTGGCCTGCTGATGATTCCCAGTCGTGAAGAACGGGTCCGTAGTGTAGCCGTGGGTGAATAGTCCGGTAAGTAATGGGTTCGAGTGGGTAATGAGTACTGCAGCGGATTGTACAGTCGGTCGGGTCGGGGCGTCGGCGATGTTATTCGTCCCTTTCTTATACGTGATGCGGTAGGTGAAGTGGCTCTCCATGTAATCCAGCCACCGTATTTGTCGCGGGTTGAGGTTGGGCTGTGTGAAAGAACGAGGAATGAATGCACTGGCAAACAGGTGGGTACAAGTAGGAAAACCTAAAAGTGTTGTACCCCATATTGTCTACCCCACTACAGCCTACACAGACTATAGCATATGAGTTTGACACACCCCCATAGGCAAAGTGGGGGAGAACAAGAGGTCACAAGACCAGTCAAGCAAAGCAAAGCAAGCTCAGGGTGGATCACAACGTCACCACACATTCCGAGCACAAGTTCAAGGCCACAAGGCCAGTTCACATGCAAGATCATATATAAAGGTAAACAAGCAAGTGCAGGTATAGAAAGATCACAGTACAAGAAAGGTCAGGAAGTGAGCAAGTGAGGCCAAGTAGGCACAAGACCTAGCATCGTACAGAAGCGCTGATGATCACAAGGTGGAAGTGCCTTGGTAAAGATATCAGCAGTGTTGGCCTCAGAGGCCACGTAAGCAAGGCGCAGCTGACCACGCTGCTGCAGCTCACGAGCAAGGAAGTAGCGAAGAGCAATGTGCTTCGTTCTGTGCTCCAGTCTGTGCTCCCGACACAAGGCCAGCATGGCCTTGTTGTCTACGTACAGAACTGGAGGAGAACGAGGCGGCTCTCCTAGGTCAGTCAGCAGGTAGGTGAGCCAGCGTAGCTCCTGTGCAGCCATGGCCCCCGCGTAGATCTCAGCCTCACAGCTGGAGCCGAGAACAGAAGACGAGCGGGTAGACCGCCACGAAACAGAGCCGGAACCAAGGCTGAAGGTGTAACCCTGTGACGACCGCTGCGTAGCCTGGTCGTCAGCCCAAGAAGCGTCTGCGTGACCTGTGAGGACCACTGAACGTCGCCCTCCAAGCACTAGCCCCATGCCCGACGTATTGCACAAGTAGCGCAACACCCTCTTCGCTGCAGCCATGTGCTCTGGTCGGTGTCTCCCAGGAGCAACATAGCGTGCCAAGATGCTAAGAGGGTATGCAAGGTCAGGTCGTGTGCAGGTCATCAGGTACATGAGGCAGCCAACAAGCTCTGGGTACGGGCCACTCGGCTCTACGGACTCATCCGAAGGCAGAGCTGAGAGCGAGTGGCGAGTAGACAGAGGAGTGGCCTGAGGCGAGGAGTACGTGAAGTCGAAGCGCTGAAGGACCTGCTGCACCATGTGTGACTGAGTCAGGGTAATGGTGCGCTGTGCTCTGTCCCGGGTGATCTGCAAGCCAGGGTAGCTGCGCAGTTCACCCAGGTCTGTGCACGTGTGTCTCTTCTGCAGCTCCGACTTCACGTGGGCGAGTCCAGCAGTGTCAGCAGTGGCAAAAACCAAGTCGTCGACGTACACGAGGATGTAGAACGGCGACAAAGAGGTGTCGGTGCGCAGAAACAGCGACGGGTCGGCTGTAGAAGGAGCAAACCCAAGAGCCGCAAGTGTAGTCCTCAGTGTGTCGTGCCACTCACGGGGCGCCTGGCGGAGACCGTAGACTGGCCGCCGGAGGCTCCACTGGGTACCAGGGGGAAACGACCCAGTGAAGCCAGGTGGGCGGCGCAGCCAGTTCTCCTCGTGCAGGCTGCCCTGCAGGAAAGCAGTGCTGAAGTCAAGAGAGTGAAGCTCGTAGTCGCGCTGAGCGGCTATGTGCAGCAGCACCCGAAGAGTGGTCATCTTCGGGGTGGGAGAGAAGGTCTGAAAGTAGTCAACTCCCTGCCGCTAACTGAAGCCTCGAGCCACGTAACGCGCCTTGAAGACAGGCGGAGAACCCGGCGGCCGCTTCACCCTGAAAATCCACATGCCACTGACGATGTTCGCCCCAGGTGGGGGAACCTCGTCAACGTAGGTGCCTGTGGACTTCCAGGAAGCCATCTCTGCGTCCATGGCTGACTGCCACTGTGAGGAGTAGGGACCCTCGATCGCCTCAGCGTACGATCGAGGAGTCGGGATGTCTGGTGCATCCGGGTCTGCCTCAGGGGCAATCAGCGTGGACACGAGATGAGGCAAAGCAGCAGCAAAACACTGGAACTCCTCCTGCCTGTCCTCAAGGACGTCCGTGCTAAGAGCACACTCACCCCCGACGGACGGAGGACAGACAGACTCAGACTCAGCAACAAGACTAGCAGCGTAGTCTAGGCGACAACGAGCAGCAAAGTCGACAAGCTCAGCAACCAAGGCAGACGCAGCAGTGGACTCAAAGGAAGGGTCAGTGACAACAGTAGCCAGGAGACGCGTGACAGTAGGACTGGCAGCACGAAGAGAGTCAGACTCCGGGTCAGCAAGAACAGGAAGAGAGGACTCCGGAGGAGACGGCAACGGGACACGCAGAGGAGCAGTGGAAGGACGCAGTGCCATCTGGTGTG